ACCCGGAGCTGTTCCTGGGCAGGGCCCGGCAGGGATTCGAGCGCGGAGAGCGCGACGGCAACCGGCGGCGTCTGGGACACATCTTCAACAGGTACGTACATGGATATATATATATATAAATATATAAATATATGGATATATACACATCTTCAACAGGTACGTACATGGATATACATAAATATATAAATATAAATATAAATATAAATATGGATCTACACATCTTCAACAGGTACGTACATGGATATATATATAAATATATAAATATATAAATATAAATATGGATATACACATCTTCAACAGGTACGTACATGGCTATACATATAAATATATATAAATATAAATATATGGATATATACACATCTTCAACAGGTACATCGTGGATATAAATATAAATATATATAAATATAAATATAAATATAAATATGGATATACACATCTTCAACAGGTACATCATGGGTATATATATAAATATATAAATATAAATATAAATATAAATATGGATCTACACATCTTCAACAGGTACATCGTAGATATAAATAAATAAATATAAATATAAATATAAATATGGATATACACATCTTCAACAGGTACGTACATGGATATACATATAAATATATAAATATAAATATATGGATCTACACATCTTCAACAGGTACATCATGGATATAAATATATAAATATAAATATAAATATGGATATACACATCTTCAACAGGTACATCGTGGATATAAACATAAATATATATAAATATAAACATAAATATAAATATGGATATACACATCTTCAACAGGTACATCGTGGATATACATATATAAATATATAAATATATGGATATCCACATCTTCCACAGGTCAGGGACACACAGAGATAAATATATATAAATATATATATAAATATATGGATATCCACATCTTCAACAGGTACATACATGGATATAAATATAAAAATATATATAAATATAAATATATGGGATATCCACATCTTCAACAGGTACATACATGGATATAAATATAAAAATATATATATAAATATATAAATATATGGATATCCACATCTTCAACAGGTCAGGGACACTCTGAGATAAATATAAAATATATATATAAATATATAAATATATGGATCTACACATCTTC